CCTTAGCGACGCCATGGCGACGCTATAGCGACGCCTCAACAACCATGCAAATGACTTTCCTAAACAAAGATATATCAACTCCAGCATGTGCAAGAAAGTAGGTACTCCCTCCGTTTCATATTGTTAGACTTTTTAGCATTGCCCATACACGTATATATGCCTAGATTCATTAACATCGGGCAATGCTAGAAAGTTTGTGAAACGGAGGAAGTAGCTTCTTGTCGGTAATATATCGCAATTACTTGACTAGGAAAAACTCTGTACATTGCTGTTAAAAGCTGCTCAAACTTCGATTAGATAAAACTTTTGAGTGGGAATATTTAGTCATCGCGGATGTGGGTATGGGGCAAGGGGACCCGATGGATATGCACCCGTTGCCATCTCTGTATCTTACCATGCCCAGCTGTCCATTTGAGAAAACTTTTGTATCCTGATTAGCAAAATTCCTGAGTTGAAGGCTACTAGGTAAAATCCTACAAACCGTAGTATAAGAGATATTTAACTATTTGTTACTCTTATAAGTGATAATTAAGGATTTGCAGTGGATCCACGTGTTATAAACATACGCGAGTCCACGTGTCATAGACTATGAGTGACAAATCTTTAATTGTTATATCTTAAAAGTGTAAAAAAGGTTAATTAAATGCCCCGTAGTATACCTATTGTCATTAGCAACAGTAACCTAAGCCCCCAAGAACGACAGAAAAAAAAAAAGGAACACAGCCCCAAATTACACCGTCAATGTGCTGCATAAGTACTTCGTTGGCTGATTGCTCATTACCCTCACTAGAAGGGAACGCGCGTGAACAGTGCGGAGGCAAGATATTTCACTTGGAAGTGTTTAGTTTATTTGGCATTTTCTGTCGTACGAAGTAGAAAGTGGAATTAAACATGACGACTTGTTGTTTATAATACTCCCTTCGTTTTAGTTACGAGGTTATAAGACGTTTTAACTTTAGTCAAATCAAACCGTTTTAAGTTTGACTAAATTTATATATAAATATAGTATTATATAATACTGTACTAAATTAATTTCAACACATCAATTGTTGAATATATTCTCATAATAAATTTGACTTGGTTTAAAAATGTTAATATTTTTTTCTATAAACTTGATCAAACTTAAAACAGTTTGACTTTGGCTAAAGTCAGAACGTCTTGTAACCTGAAACGGAGAGAGTAATTAACAAACTGGCATGGAAAGATAAAGGCTACTCCCATAAATTGAAAGATATCGGTGTTATTAAACAGAACTAAAACTTCTCTGAACCACCGACTGTCCAAGCGAAAACCAGGAAAAATTAAATCGTGTTGATCTCACACATTACCATTTACTAAGAAAAATGTCAGTGCGTTGCAACAGGTAAAATATATTTTAAGTTTATTATTATTATATGGTTTAGTTAATGTGAGAGTTTGATTGGATATATATATTTTTAGAAAATCATGAGCTGCAGTTAGAAGTCCGATCGTTTAAAGTTAGCATGTGAGTTTTTTTTAAACATATTTCTTATATGATTCCTTCTATGTTACCAAAAGTAAAGGATCTTAAAAAGTAAAAACTGACTCAAACACGGATATGTATTTTTAAAAGCAAGCGAACTGAAAAACCGACTCATATACGGATTACGTACCAAAATACCGGCAAAAATATTTTTAATTTTTATAATAGTAGAGAAGAGATACAGATTAAACCAAAACATAAAATTAAAACCGACTCAAACACAGATAACGAATCACGGAAACATCTTCAATTTTTATGACCGACTCAAATACGGATGACAGAGCGCGAAAACATCTTCAATTTTTATAATATATAATATAGTATATAGTAGAGATATATCTGTTTACTGAAAGCTTGAAATTAAATTAGAACATCATGTCTCGAGCAATTATAGCAGTATGGGAAATGTGGAAAACACGAACGGTTTGGGATATAACTCGTCATGACTGCTGGGTGCAACTTTTAGCCCTTTCGCCATGCAACTCAGTACCAATTTCGTACTTTGCACCATCAAGAAATTGAGATGGATGTGTCATGCATGTTGCTCACAACTTCTCAACCTCTGCAAATTAGGCTATGATGTTTCATACAGAGGGACTTGGACAAAACACATGCATGCAACGATATGGAAGTAACCGACCTGATAGTTTGTTGATCCTTCGTCAGATCATTAAATATGGCTCATATATTTCTATTGCCGATCGATTTTAACTTCGTACGTGTCTTCTGTTGAAGTAGCCTGAGCAATCTCTGATGGACTCCTTGTCACTTGTAAAGTTTGGAAATAGGGATGGCACATTCAACTTGAGCTATCATTTTGCCTACTCAGAGAAATGGTAAAATAAAGTACTTTAGGAAAAAAAATTGGTTGTCCTGTAAAATAAAGGAAACAAACAACATTGTTTTAACTATTCCAGTTCCTCCCCTTTGCCTCCGTACTCATGGTCAGGTTCTGTTTTCGGAATGCAGATATGCAAGATGTGGACACATTAAAAAGATAAATTTAATCATATTGTGTAGAACACAAATAAGAACAGAAGTACATAGCTTCATGGTTTCAAACCACAAGGAAAGAAAAGGATTGCCCATTTGTCTATTTTGTTGGTTGGTGATCTCGGCTAACCGAGAATTGCGTAGGAGACCTTCCTAATTAACGACACATTAATTCCCTAAAACCACGCTTTAAGGCTTCATGAAAGCTTATTTTTGATATTTGGACTGACCATTTCTTATTTTCTTTCCACAATATAATGCTCTCAAACATGGAGTACATATCGATGAAGTGCCTAGAGGACTGGAATGCCAAAAGCAAATATTATCTACCCAACGTCTCTTTGCAGAGTTTTTGAACTGAAAAACATGACATGAAATCTTTTTGGATGCTTGAAAATCTTAGCCAATTTGTTTCTCATGCAGAAAAGTACTTTGTAGTTACTACGTACTTTCAGTTAGGTTAAAGTGTCTCATTCCTGTAATTCTATGATTTCAAGGAGTGTGATAATATTCATTGCGTTTATTTAAAAAGACACGTGCAGCTGATGTATATACTACTCCATCCGTCCCAAAATAAGTGTAGTTTTACACTATTCACGTTCAACATTTGACCGTTCATCTTATTTAAAATTTTTTTATGATTAGTATTTTTATTACTATTAGATGATAAAACATGAATAATACTTTATGTGTGACTAAATATTTTCAATTTTTTTATAATTTTTTCAAATAAGACGGACGGTCAAACGTTGGGCACGAATATCCACGGCTGTATTTATTTTGGGACGGAGGTAGTATGTGAGGGAAAATCCATAATCTCCTTTTGACATGGAAATTTGAGGCTGTGTTCTTTTTTTATTTTAGAAATTTGACTGTCATGTTTGATCAATGCACGCGATTTAATTCTCTTGTTTTTTTCCTTGTCATAATGGTTTTAAGTCATATTTATTGATTTGTGCGACATGCATTGCTAGTTTGAATAGGAGTTATTGATATGACAAACAATACTCAAACAATACTCTAAAGAGACATTTATTTGTGAACAAATTTCGAATCCAAAATGACACTTTGTTTTGGAACGGAAGAAGTACTCATCAGTTCATTTTGCTTTCTTGCATTGCTCTCTGCTTCATCATGCATGATACTCCCTCCGTCCCACAAAGACTCCAATTTTTCAATTTTTAGATACAACGTTTGACTCTTTGTTTTATTTAAAATTTTTCAATGATTAATATTTTTATTGTTATTAGATGATAAAACATGAATAGTGCTTTATGCTTGACTAATTTTTTTAATTTTTTTTATAAATTTTTTAAATAAGATGGACGGTCAAACGTTGGATTCAAAAACTAAAAAATGAAATCTAATTATGAGATGGCATGGAGGGAGTAGTTGATTGTTGATATGTTCTACTTTAAACGTTGGTAGTGCTGGTGGAAGTGAATCTACCACCCCACACACCCCAATATAATTTTTGCATATTACCACTTCAACTATTCAGTAGTAAAAATATAGTCGAATGTAAATAGATTGCCACATATAAAATCAAACATGGCGAATGTTCCCTACAAAAGATAAGTAATATATTTCATGATAAATATTTTTATTTGTTTTAGAAAATATTATAATAAATATTTTTAATCCGTGACAAAGCACGGATATTTAGCTAGTTTTCTCAAAAATTTCATTCCAAACTTGATCTCTTAATCCACATATTCCACTGCTCACATGAATTAAATCATATCCATATTACATTAAGAATACTCATAAGGCGTCCGTTGTGACTTGGTCAATCTGAAGATATGCCAGTGCATTTTTTTTAAGATACTTATAGAGATAAGGTGTACGTGCGTGTTTATAGGTGTGAGTGCGCACGCGTTATGAGATTATGTGTTTTGTATCGTATTTCTTAAGGAAAAAAAAAGAATACTCATCTCCGAACAGAACCATAAGTCAAGGGAATAATGGGATTTATACTTTCTATAAAGTTACAACCCACTAAGTATAAAGCTCAACATGCAACCATGTTACATCATCACCCACTAGCAATAATTACATAATTAACCTCATACAAGCATGCAACATCATCTACAATCTATTAGATTCTATAAATCAACATGCAGGCATATCCAATCAACACCTCTCACATCATTTCCCTGGTATTTTTAACAAACCTCTAATATTTAACATATACTTATCAATATATGTGTTTCTCATTAAAGCGCATATATCATTTGTTTGTTTCACGATAAGTACCGATAAACCTTGATGTTTCATTAATTTTTTCTACTAGCTCAATTGTCGATAAAAAAATATATTGAAATTTTTTAGTAATTTTCACAGCAAAGTGCGGGAAATCACCTAGTATACATACTCATATCCCCATATTAAATTAGACGTTTATTACCCTATTCTTTTGAAGGAAATAAAAAAAATAAAATTGATTGGGGGTTGTGTCCAGCAGGGGATCGATTCGATTCCATTCCGGGACGGGTTCTGAGAGGTGAGGCCTTTCAGGCCCGAACACATCCAATCCGGCTCGGACTCCTCCGCTCCCAGCGGCCTGTACAAATAGCCCAAGATGCCTCCCTCTCCTCTCCTATCCTAGGGTTCCAAAAATCCGCACTCGAAAGGAGAGACAAATAAAATCTCCCGGCGAAATCCCTGAAAATTTTGGCGATGGCGACGGCCGATGATGCTAAGGTGACCCGTCGTAAGGTGAGGATGGTCAAGGCCGTAGTGTACGAGGTGGAGGCGGCGGCGACGGCCGGCGAGGGCGACACCCCGGTGGCGGAAGGGAAGGTCCGGCTCTCGCAGGAGAGCGTCGACGCGATCCTCGCCGAGGAGACGAAGCCGTATCCCAACATGGAGTACTTCCGGAGCTTGAAGGACAACCCCGCCGTGCCGCCGGAGCTGTACGAGAAGACGATGCGTGCCGTCCGCTTCGCCGCCAGGTCGCACGACAAGGTTCAGCAAGGCATCCTCCGGCGCCAGGCATGGATCCGCAGCGAGCTTGAGGAGAAGGGCTTTGTTGATGTCGACCAAGACAAGGCTGCGACCTTCACTGCTGTACACTGGAAAGAGGAGCTCATGACGGACGATGAGGAGGATGATGACGACGATGATGAAGACGAGTCCGAAGAGGACGATGAATTCGACGAAAAAGAAGACGATAGTGACAATGAAGACGATGAGGAGAGTTCTGATGATGAGGAGGAGACTTCTGAAGATGATGAGGAGACTTCTGAAGATGAAGGGCATTCTGATGATGATGAGGCTACCGTTTAACTGTATTAACTAGCTATATAATCGATCAACTCAGATGTATCATCTGGTTATATATTAGTCTCTTGATCTATCAAATTATATTCTTCTTCTACAATCTTACTATTAAGTATCTCTTGATCGATCAAATTAAACCACCTGGGGTTGTCTTCTCTGCATCAAGCTCTATCCATGGTGAGATTTTACTATTGCTTCAGGCCTTTCTTTCTTCTCCTGTCCATTAATACTGTTTCAATTAGGATTTAATATGGTTCAACCATCTTCCTGTTCTGTATGCTAATTGCTAAGCATTGTATTAAATGTCTGGCTTAGACAGCAGCATCATATGTCTTTCATTTTTTGAATTTTAACTGAATTTTTTAAATCATGGCTCCAGAAATTCAACTGGAGAGAGTGGACATGATATGTATGTCATCTTTTTTTTTTTTTTCTGAAAATGCTCACCGAGTTCGATATGCTGATTTAGTCATGATCTCAAATATGCTCTATCTGGTGTAACATATCACGTTTAGTTTGAACACATACATTAATTATAACACTGTGATGGATGTTTTTACCAAGTTTGAGGTGTAGATGTCTGATATACAGCCTGTAATCTATTCTCTCTCATTTGTTTACCTTCTCCTATGTCATCACACACATGAATGAAATTGTTGATTTTTTTTCTTCTCTTTTAGCATGTTGCATTCAATTATTTGTGCTTGTCTTATGGTGCAGCTCCCTCGTATAATTTGTTGTGTACTTCAAGGGAAATGTTTTGTATTCTCACTGTCATTTGCAGTAACAATGTGCTTGAGAGTGATTGCCGAGACAAATTCCCTGCTATTGAAGATGTCCGTGGAGGGTTCATACTTCAATCTATCACCAATGTGTGGTACTACCTCGTACCTCCGTTTCAGGTTATAAGACTTTCTAGCATTTCTCACATTTATATAGATGTTAATAAATCAAGGCACACATATATGTCTAGATTCATTAACATATATATAAACGTAGACAATGCTAGAAAGTCATATAATATGAAATGGAGGAAGTACCATTTATGAACTCAAAAGGGAGATTGGCAGTAGTTTTTCTGATTTCTCTATCATGTATTGCGCACGCACTGGTGGTGCTGGGATGTAAGAGCTCTCTGCAAGCCAATCTCTTCTGGGATGGCACGCCTGTAGGTGTAGAGAGCCTGGTGACCAGCGATTTAGCTGAGTCTATAAGTTAATTCAAAGTCTTTTCGGTTAAAAAAAATGTGCTTGAGAAGTCTGATCTGCAACCTGCACTCAAAGCACTTAAAGACAGGCTGATGGCTAAGAATGTGGTATTTATTGTGTAAATAGTTGCATGATAGCTTGCTACACTGGTGTCTTTACGCAGGCTGATGAAATTGTGGAAAAGCACTTCATCTTTCTCTTCTTATTTGTCTTGTTCAAATGAAATTGTTGAGGAGCATCAACAGAATGGCTATAAGATCTTCTGTTTTTATCCGACAATTTTATGGTTTTATCCATCATCCAGCTTCCTGGAAATACCATGATAAGAGCTGCAGTACAACAATGCTTCTTCAGGTTTTAAACAGAGGACATGACAATGTTAAAAAGAATTTTTATAACTAGTGTGGGTGTGGCCATATACACAAATGAAGCTTGCATTCTAGATATTGCTGCTTTTCTATTACTATATATCAGTTTTCACAGCTGGAATTCACTTCGATCACATAACATTTTTTTTTGGACCTGAATCACATAACGGTTTTTATCTGGCCAGAGTTTTTTTTACCTGTTCTAAGTTTTATATTTGTGTGCACAACCCCAATCGTTCCCTCTTTTCTTCTGTCTTCAGGGATTAAGAGCAATTTTCCAGAGAGAACAAGTGGAGTGAAGTAAGCAGAGAATGAAAGAGCTGCATTGAACTAAGCAGAAACCAAATACATTAGCTGCTCTAGTGGTGATCCAGTGCTTGTTTAGTCTAATTGATCCATTGCTAGAGGGTGGGAGTTGGGATGAATCGGTGGTGATCGATCTAGTGCTGATTTATAAGAAAAAGTTGCTGATCTAGTCCATCTCCTTTGTAACCCATTTTTTGTTTCATCTAATCCTCTGTAGTTTGTGGCAATATGGACCAAAGAATGAATCATGAGTTTTCCAGTTCATGGAAAACCAAGACAAAAGATGAAATGTTGTTTTTTCTTTGCTATTTGTTTTGTTTGGGCGTCTATGATAAGAATCCAAACCAATAATGAGGGATAAGAAACATTAGAATGCGTTTGTGCATGCCACTCAATCAGGCCGTTAGTTTTGATGAATCTATTTCTCTTGCTAATCCCATCTTCAGACTGAAAATTCAGTACTTGTCCATGGTTGGAAGGCGGCGGGAGCTCCGGCGAATTCAGGCTCTTCCTTGCCGGCCGGCCCAAGGTTCTTATCATAATACAGATATGACGGCCTTTATAGGCCCATATAAATTTGGATCGCCGCCATAATCCAAATTTCTAGTGGCCCAACTAAACAGACTCTCTAGTTGAAAACCTAGTCCAGTTCTTTGGATGGGTGGCAGTAGCGCTTCAATGTCACGACTTCCCTAGGGGCGTTGTCTAGGATATTCCGTTTTCCGTCTTTTCAATTCCGGTCAATATGGTCTATAACAATTGTCTTGGATGTCTCCATTCGATTTGCACGAGAAACAAGTGGATTTTCTTCTCTCTCGCCCTGTCTCTCAATAATCCTTCTCTATGGAGAGTACTAGAAGTACGTGGGTGGCTTTCTGCTTGGAGATGAGACAGGAGGTGCCTTTATGCTTCTACCTGGCTTGTGGCGACCAGTCACGCATAGCGCCGATGGGCTTGGTGTTATTTTTTTTCCTTAAGAATGCGCAGGAGTTAGTTGTCAACATTATACATATTATGACACTAACGAATCAATTTTTTAGATCCGCTAGTGCGCCGGTGAGGAGACCAAGATCCGGTGGTGAGAAGCTGTAGCGCCCGTTCCGTCGTGGCGCCTAGCGGGAAAATTATCTCTTAAAAACCCTAATTGCGAAATTTGTTTCTTTGCTTGTTGTCTAGTGTCCGTGCCATCTCGGATCTCAATCCCCGATCTATCGTCGAGTTCAATTCCGAATCCAAATCCTTCCAAATCAATCCCTCCGCAAAAGTCTATTTTGCCTCCCCCGGGGTCGATGGGCCGAATTTCTCTCGGCCCATCTCCCCCTCCCTCCCCGGCGCCCTCTCTTTCTCGCTCTCTCTTCCCCCCCTCTGCTATGCCCGCGCGCCTAGCGCGCATGCGCGAGAGCCGCGCCCAGCGCCCCTCCCTCCACTCTGCCCGCGCGCCGCGCGCGCATGCGCGAGAGCCGCGCCGTCTGCGCCGTCCGCGCTGCCCGGCCCCGCTGCCCTGCCGCGCCTGCAGCCGCGCAGCCGCCCGGCCCCGCAAGCCAGCGCGCGTGCCCAAGCCGCGCCGCTCAAACCGCCGCGCCGCCCGTTGCTTTCCGCGCTCGCGTGCCGTGGTGGCCGACCGCCTGGTCGCCGCCGCCGTCACCCTCTGCCGCGCCTGCCCGCGCCTGTCGCTTGTGTCGCCGCTCCGCTCCACACCGCCCCGCCGTCATCGCCGTCATCATCGCCTCGGCCCCGCCACTCCGCGCGCAAGCCGCCAAGGGACGGAGGCAGAGCCCCTCCTCCGCCTGCCGCGTCGCCCCCGCTCTCTCCTCCTTTTCCCAAAGTGGCAAGGAGGCAAGCCCCTTTCTCCCTTCCTTTTCTCCCTTTCCCTTCCGCCGGCGTCATCCTCCTCCCTCCTCCCTGTCGCCGCCTTGGCCGCGACCGCCGAACGCTAGCCCTCTCCTTTGACCGCCCTAGGTCGGTTCCCAAACCGACATTGCCATCCTATAAACCCAAGTTTCCCCCTTTCCTTTCCTCTCCCCATTCGCCTCCACGCCATTGCCGCTGCCTTCCGAGCTCTGTCTCGCCTCCGCCGTTCATCGCCAAGCGCCGGGAGAGCCGGTGCGTTCGTGGACGCGGAAGAGGACTCCGGGCGCGCCCTCTCCTTCCTCTTCCCCGGCCCGAGGCCGGAGAGTTTACTCCCGCGCCGTCGGCCTCTCGTCACTGCGCCCCGTCCGCACGGTAGTGCCTCCCTCCGTTCTTCCTCCTCGCTCCATCTCTCCCCCTTAGTTTTCGGTAGTAGCACGAGTAGCCTCCCCGTAGCTAGCCGGCGCCGCCCCGGCCGTTGCCGCCGCTCGCCGTGTGCTCGTCGCCGTCGCCGCCCGAGCTCGGAAGCGCCGCTCGTCGCCGGCCTCGCTCGGTGTAGCTCCGCCCAATCCAACGCTAGCAACGGATTCCCGTAGCCGCGTAGATGCTCTCACCGCCGGGAATTGGCCCCTCGTGACCTCGTCGCTGTTTCCCCCTTTCCTCTCCGCCGGTTGCCGCCGCCGCAATCCGCCGCCGACGGACTCCCTTCGGCGAATCCGAGCCGTTGGCTCGTCTCCCCTCGTCCTGTGCAGCCACCCGGTGTGCTCGCTTTTGCCGGTATCGCCGTGGTTCGTTCCGCTGCTCGCCGCTGTCGTCCGCCGTCCGTTCCGGCCGGCGTCGTCGTCTACCTCCCGCCGGCCCGCGTGGCAGCCACGTAGGCGCCACGTCGGCGCCAGCTCGGCCGAGGTTGGGTCGGGCCGACCCCGGTCAGTCCCTCCCGTGCGCGCGTTCCACCGCGAGCCGTGAGGCTGCGCGTGGGCCCGCCGCATCCGCGTCCACCGCGAACCGCGCGCGTGCACCACGTCCCTCCCCCACCCTAGCGCCGCGCCGCGTGCTCCCTCCGCACGGTGAGCCGAGCCGCTGACAAGCGGGTCCCACCCGGGACCACGCGTGGTGAGCCCGGTCCACCGGCCCTCTCTCTCCTTCCCTCCCGCGCGCGCGCGCTTGGGCCGCCTTGGGCCGGCCGGCCCATTTAGCTCGGCTGGACCGCCCCATTTCTCTCGGGCCGCGCCCTAGCCGCCCGAGGAAAAGTCTATTTTCCCTCCCTCTTTTCCTTTATTTTCTTTTCTTTTTCAAAAAGGATTTAATTAAATCCTTTTCCTTTAGACCAAAAATCCAATAATCTTAGAAATTCAATATCTTCCCAACCGTAAATCCGTTTGACTCCGTTCAACTTCCAAAATTCCTCAAATCTCGAGATCTATCTAATGGCACGCTTAGAGGTCATTAATAGGGCTTTATTTTCGCCGTTTGTTGAGTTGTCCCGTTTCGCGTGTAGTTTCGGAGCCCAAAGACCCGCAGCGCGAGGATTTCGAGGATCAAGCTCCAGATCTCGAGCAAGGCAAGCCACCTTTGAACATCTTGAG